AGAAGGGCAGGTCAACGGGTCGACACATTCCGATAGGAATGACAACTCGCGGGCCCCCGCTCCGCCCGCGGAATCTGCTCTCGCGCAAATGCAGCGAAGCAGAGCGGGAGCGGCTCATCTCCTTCACCCGCGCAAGACACATCTGACGACGATGGTTTGTCGCATGCGCGCGGGTCTCGATCAGCGCAGAAGCCCGATGGCACCCGGCGCATTGGCCGGCCCCCTTCGCGCGCAATCGCGCGCGATTCGCGCGCGCCAGAGACGGGTTCAGCGGGGCCTGGTAAGCTGCCAGGCCCGGCGCGCTCGCCCGCGTCGCGACGGGCGCACGCTGGCGCGAGCATCTCGCGCGGGCCCCCGAAAATGTTTCGGTCGAGGCTTGACGGAGACCCATGTCCCATTAACGCGGCTTCCTCGGGGCCGTAGACGCACGGTTGAGTACGCGCGGGCGTGCCTGATTGAGCGGGGCGGAGCGGGCCAGCGACGCGGCGCGATCGGCCACGCACGACGCGCGCGCGGCGCGCGCGCCAGGCGCCAGCGGAGCGGCGGGCGAAAAGGCGCGGCTGCCGCCGTCGACGAAAGACGCGAAGCCTAAAGCACACATGCATAACCGAATGTTACGAAGGAAATCCCGACGCCTCAACTCGCATTCTCGGCGGGTGACCTCGCCCAAACGGGATGCCCCAGCCCCTGCGACTGCGAAAGGGCGGCGAGTCAGCGCCTGAGTCAACGCGGGCGCGCCGCGCCAGCGATCGGCGAAGCGAGCGTCGCAGGCGCCGGCGGCAGCGCGGACGCGAAACGGCGCGCCCCGTCAAGGCAGCATTTGGCGAACACACTTTCGCGCGCCCTTCCGGGCGCCTTTCATCGAAGAAAAGCGCTAGACAGTGGGCGCAGCGGTCTCTCGTCTGACCGGACTTGGACGGGGTCGCCTTCGCCACCTCGCCAGGGTCGCAATCGCCCAGCGACGAAGATGCCCCTTCCGAGCACCCCGCTGGTCGGGGAACGAACCCCCCGGATCCGCCGCGCGGAGGCCCAGGCGCGCGACGCGCGCAAAACCTGCGAGGCACACCTCCGCATTCCCCGGCGCGGCGCGCTCGCGGCGCACACCGCAGCACGGCACATTGCATTGAAGGCCGCTCGCGCTGGACCATTGCCTGCGCGCGAGCTACGAGTCGCGCTAGCATGGATGATTCCTTACGTCGCGAACTGAATTGGCACTTGGAGCGGGGGGCCAGGGCTTCTCGCGCCGCGTGGCTGCGCAGCGCGGCGCATTGCCGTCAACTCGACCATCCCAGCCTCTGCTCATGCATCGGCGTCGTTCGCAATGCTTGCAAGTGTCCGTTTGATTCCACGGCGCGCCCAGTGCATCGCGGAGTTTTACAAAGGCGCTCACGCGCGCGACATGGGCGGCAGTGGTTGGGCGCCCGTTCGTCGCCAACTCCGCGAGCACAACCGAAGACAGCAGCGCGGTGAAGAGGATCACGCACAGCACAGCATTGGCATCGAAGTTATGTCCCGATGGCGGCAGGTCGGTTACCTGCACAGAGATACAGTGACCTCTGACGTGGAGACAATATGGGCGCGTTTGGACTCGCCTTGCTGGCGCCTTCTGGCAGCGGGGGCACGTCAGCTCTCCAGGAGACGCCCTGTTCCGGCAGAAAGGGTTGGACATGGCGGCGAGCCCGCAGAGCACCGCGCGCACAAGGGTTCATCTGTCACTACTTTGAAACAAGACTCGGTGGCGCAGATCGCGCCTGAAGCGACTGGCTTGCAACGCACGCAGTGCCCATCACTGCATGGGAAAACGCGCTCTGGACAACTTACGGCTGCACGAAGTGTAAGAAACATACAAGCTTCTACTCCGTTATCTGCACGGCTGCGGTGCACTGGGGACTGGCGCGTTGGTTCAGCTTCAGATTGGAGGCACGTGGAGTCTTGGCGACTGCGTATATGGAGTCGTCGGCAGGCGGGGGCTTCGCGCTGGCTTCCATAGGGCGGCATATGTCACAATGGAACTAATGTCTGGACGCGCTCGTCGACCGCAACCGTTCACGCATGGTGTACGCCCGTTGTCGCAAGCAGTGCATCTTAGCGACGCGGTCGCGTCGGGTTCGTTCGTGGAGAAAGGCGCGTTGCACACGTATCGCCAGCAAGGGTCGAACGGACATGTTTCCTGATGGTTGTGCGACGGATACGAAATTCTGCTACTGGCAGCCCAACAGTGCATTCACACATGGTAGGTGTCCACGAGTACAAGCATAACAAGCATATAGTGCAGAATCCCTGTGCGCGCTGGAGAGCGAATTGTCAACAGTGCGCAGCGGTTTGGATGTTCCTACACATGGACCACTTCAACGTTGGGATGTGAGCAGGGTCCTTCATGTGGGCTGGACACAGACCGTGCGGATTGAACTTCTTGGACGAAGGGGCGCTACGGTTTGTGCCATCGGGTGTGCACATATGGGCGAACAATGAACACGTGGAGCAATGATGGGAAAGCCTCCTCCGACCATCGACCATGGGTCGGGCCACATTTCGATGAAAACCGGGAAGGTCAAACATGTGAGCTCTGGCTCGTGAGGCGCGTGGGGCATGCTTCGCAAAAGGCAGCTTGATCCTGGAGCCACTGCGTGCGGCATACTAATGACAACAGTCATGATGGAGCCGGCGCGAACGGTTGTCACGACACACGGTGCCCAGCTCAGGGGACCCTTGTACATAGATGTGCCTCCGGAGGCCCTCCCTGCGAACTCGTGGATCCCTCTACAGCGTCGTGGATGCCGCTTGGTCCGTCTACGGGACTTGGGTTGTGGGCCTGATGCCACCACGCCTGGGTGATGGGCCAGTGGCCTGCTAGATGCCTGTTGGGATACGTGTGGAAGTCTTTAGGAGGCCTCTTGGAAAGCTATCGGAGGCCTCTTGGGTACTTCGTGGTTGCCTCTCTTGGGGCCTCTTGGGAGCATCTTCGGGGCCTTTCGAAAGCTTTTTGGAGAACTCTTGGGGCCTCCTAGGGGCCTCGTGAGGGCCTTTGGGGGACTCCTGGGGGCCTCTTGGGGACCTGGTGGGCGAGGGCTCGAAATTCGGCTCGTGTTCCCCATCAGAGATCCCTCCTGGTGCGTTCTTGGGGCCCTTTTGGGCCGATTTGGAAGCCTCTTGGGCCGTCTTGGGGCCCTCTTGGGCTGTCTCGGCGCTCTCTTGGGGGCCTTTTGGCTCGTCTTTCTGGCCTCTTGGGCCGTCTTGGGGCATCGGGAAGCCGAACTGGGGAGAACCCCAAAATCTGTCAAAAACCATCCGAAAATCAATCAAGTCCCTCCTAGGGGTGCTCTTGGAGGCCTCTTGGGGCGCTTTGGAAGGGATCCTGGCCCATTCTTGGAGCCATCTGGAGCCGTCTTGGAGCGCTCCCGAGCCGTCTCGGGGCGCTCTTGGGTTGCCCTGAGAGCGTCCTGGAACCATGTTAGGCGGTCCTGGGAGCGTCCTGGCGCATCATGAAGGGGGGGGACCACAGCCACTCGGCAAAGTGGGCCCCACCCAGTCCAGCCCCCCCTCCCCATTCCGCTTTCTTATATGTATATATATATATATACATATAGAGAGAGGGAGGGAGGGAAAAAACGTCAATCAAGACTCTTTCGTTAGTTCGTCGGGTGTAGCAGCACCTGGAGAAGCTTCCAGTTGTCCCTGAACGCTTGGTCCCGTGTAGTGGTAACCTGGCACGAGGCCACAGTACTTGATCGCACGCTAAAAACATGATCGTGAGCTGTAGCCGCAGAACTGTGTTGAGAGACAGCGTAACATTACTGTGGTATACGAGGATACACCAGGTGTGAGCAAACCACGCCATTCAAGATCATTATCGTAGACGGCAAGTCGTGGAGTTCAGCTCACATCAAGCAACAAGTTTGTGGGGGCCCTCTCGTCAGCACTCGTGGCAACATAAGGCACACAACAAGTGCGCGGCTACCAATGCTCGCACAACGACAGCTTCAACGGAGATATAATAGGAACCCATCTTACTTCCTTCGGGCCCGAACAGACATCGAATTGGAGTCAGATGAGATGCTTAAGAAATCGTTCGGGGTCTCACCGTATCCCACGAGATTCCATTAGGAACCCAACGGGATCCAATGGGAAACTATACTACTGGGTTGCAATAGGATCCCCAGAGGAAACTACAAAATAAGAGTCCAGACGGAATTAATATTGCTCGGTTCCAAGAGGGACCAATGAAATAGCCCAGTAGGACTCCAATGGAAAGGACGTGTTTGATTATAATCGGCTTCCAATCGGTTGAAAGTAGGAATACAATAGGAAAGAATCCGATGGGATGCCGCCCGGACCCCAGTCGGAACCCGATAAGATTCCAATCGGAGGGGTACGAATGCATTATCATTGGAATCCAATCGGATGTGCAATGGGATCTGTGCTGGATTCCAACCGGACCCTAATTGGAATCCTGTAGTCGCGTTCCAACCCAATCGTCTAATGTCGTCAGGATTCCGTTTGAAAGGGATCGATTTGCATTCCGATATGATCGCCTTGGATCCCACAAGGAACCCAATGTGATCCTAATTGGAAGGAGTGCCATTGAATTCCAACAAGACTACTACGTAAGATTGCGGTTACATTATACAAAACCCCGTTCGGCTCAATCCCCGGCAGGATATCCTAAAAACTCCCACGATCACTATGAGCTAAGAAATTCCCACGATCCCACAATCCCACTCTTCATGTGGATACCCTAAGAACTCCCACGATCACGATGAGCTAAGAAATCCCTTGTGAAGTTGCCATGTAATTAAAATGGATTCCGGGGATCAAGCCCTTCTGCCATGCATTGAACCCATCGCGGACCAGCCTCCTCCGCCTCGGCGGCACCCTCGGGGTCGCGGCCAAGAGCCTCAGGGCTCGTCCCCAGGACTCCTCCTGCTCTGCCGCCGCCCCCGCTGGTCCTCCTCCTCCTCCTCCTCCTCCTCCTCCTCCTCCTCCTCCTCCTCCTCCCCCTCCTTTCGCTTCGCTTCGCTCGCGGCTCCATGTCCTCGCGGGACGCAGCCGTCCGCGCGGGCGTGCCCGCGCGTGCGCCGAAGGCGCGCTGGAGGGGAGCACCCCCCCTACACGACCCCCGCCAGGAAGGCCCAGGGAAGGAGCCGTCAAGGCTCCGCCAGGGAAGGGGCGGGGGAAAAAAGGACGACACAAATACAAGGCATGCTTACGCCCCACAACAGACCCCAGAAGGCAAACGCTGTCCGGGGAGGGGGGGTCAAAAGTTCCGCTAAGGAGGGGGAGGGAGAGGCCACATGGGGGTGGCAAAGTGGAGAGAGGGGAGGGGGCTCATTGAAGGCCTGAGGGGAAGAGAGCTACCCCCATGACGGCCTGCCCGCGGGTGGCGGCCCAGGTCAGACCTGGACCGTGTCCTCCCCCCCCTCTCCCTAGAGGGGGCGTCCCTGATGTTGTTGGCGGTCTCCGTGAGCGCTACGGCGGTCTTGCCGTGGTGCGCGCTCTTGTTGATCTTCATGGGCCATGTTACGGCCAACTCTGATCAGCTCGGGCTGCCCGCGATGGATGCGACAAAATTGTCGATTGGATTGTCGTGCTCGTCGGAGGAGCCGTAATATACTGCATAGATGCTGCTGGTGACGTCTACCATGGTCGGTCTCTTCGTAGCGAGATTCTCCACTGCGTAGAACATCATCTCAGTGTTCCAGATCGTCGTTGTCCCTGCTGGGGCTGCAGATTGTGCTAGTAGTGCTGGTACTTCGGCGACGTGGGCGACGTGGAATGTGTGGATGGCGAGGCGGGCATGGTGGTTCGCGACCAGTCGTCGTTCGGCTGCCTCGCCTCCAAGGCTTACTCTGCCCCAGGGTTCTGTGGTTGTTCTTGAAGATGCTGCTTTTCTGTCATGCTGGTCGCCCTCGCCTTGGTCTGTCCACGTCCTGGATGAGAGGCTGATCATCACTCCCGCGAAGTCGCCTTGTCGAATGTGTTGGTGGATCGAGTCGAGGGCGTCGTACTGTGATGGGTGGTCGACAGAGTAGAGGTCGTCGAAGGTCATGATAACTCGTTCCATCACCATTCCCTTGTAGCATAGTCGTTGGTCCGTGATGTCCAACAGATCGTTCGGGTGTCTCTCGGTGTTGGTGAGGTAAAGAAGAGATCTGTTTCTGGTCGGTGTTCGAGGGTGGTGGGCTGGTGGTGGTGGTGTGAGCTCAGGTACTGTCGGGAAGAATGGCGGTGGTGAAGGTGATAGGTCGAGTGATGGTAAGGGAGTGACGTCGGATGCATGGGTAGGGATATGGTGGTATAGTTCGGGGCGTCCTCTGCGTTTGTTGTCGGCTATGCTGGTCGCGTAGATCGACTGGTTGTTGGCCACGTCCTCCTCCGTGAGGGCAGGTCCCTGTAAGTACCACATGTGCCATGACCTTCGGCAGCGGGCGACCGTGGTTAGATGCTTCACTAGCTTGGCGAAGGAGTGGAAGTTCTGGCGGCATATTCTGCACGACGTACCCGATGCCCAGTTTCGCGGGTGCTCAGGTCGTCGGTGTTCACGTCCGATATGTATTGCCATGCCCTGCTTTGTCTTGGTTACGATTCCGCACTCGTAGCAGATGAAGTTGTAGGCGCCGTTGTCGCGTGATGGCGTAGTGTCCGCACCCGTGGGGCCGTCGGGTCTGAGCACCTTGGTGAGCTTGTCGGCGTGGGCGTGGTCTTTAAAGGCGCGGATGTAGTTTGTGACGGCCAGGTTGACGGAGTTGGTGAAGTGCTTCGGCGTGGTGCGAGCCCATGCAAAAACGTCGGGGTCGAGCTTGCTTGTCGTGGGCCAGCGCTGGTCGTCCAGGTATGTGCGCAGGAAATCGAAGTCCTGGAAAAGCATGTATGTCCATGAGCCCTTCCTCCGTCGCTGGTTGTCAAGCAGTTGGAGGAGCTGCTGAGGAGCGTGTCGTAGAAGCCGTGGTAAATATCGCAACCTTCCAGCAGACTGGTGGTGGTCGAAGTCGGGGATGCCTGTGTAAGCAACTACTTCGGTGGCCGTGAAATGATGAAGCTGCGAGTTCGTCTTGGGTAGTCCAGCTGCCGTGCGGTAGGGCTTCGAGTAGGCGTTGGAGATGCGCTGGTGGTCGGTCTGGGTCAGTGTTGGCCAGACGTGATGGTTGAAGGTCAATGAGGCGGTCGAGAGGGCGTGCACGTACTTGATCTTCGTTTTGCGGGGTAGGCGTCGTCGTCTTAGGATTTGCCTCTCAAGAGCTCGTGCCGAAGCTTCGGTTCGTCGCATGCGATTCTGTACCTCGGGTCCCATGCTGCCGTTGGTTAGGATAGTGCCTAAGAGTCGGTGCTGGTCTGCGATCTGGACCGAGATCGACATGATGCTCAGCTGGATTGACGTAATGTTTTGCTGTGCAAGCCTGCTGCGTGCGACGTTGGAGCCCGTCCCGTTAAAGGAGATGATAACCTTGGTCTTGTCTGGGTGCGGCTTGAGCCCATAGGTGAAGGCGGTACGGCATAGACGTTCGGCTGAAGTTTTCGTAATGTCAATGATGTCGGAGTGGCTGGTGGTCGAGTTGAAGTCGGTGAGGTCGTCGACGAAGGACATGTTAGTCAGCTTGCCGCCTTGATGCGGGGCCGTAGAGAAGAGCGGGTTGTCGCAGGGGCGGATGTGGTGGCCACTCTCACCATCTTCTGCCCCTTCAGCGTCGTCGGCGATGGCCTGAAGCACTAGGGAGAAATGCATGTTGAAGGCCGCGTCGGAGTATGGCACCCCTGGCCTGGTACTGGTGCGTGGGATCACGTATGCGTCGGTGCCCTTGGCGGTCATCCAGTTGGCCGTGTGGTGGTCGGCCACGAGGGCGCAGAGGTGGGAGTCGTCGACGTGGGCGTTGAGATGTGCTGGACAGCGAAGCCGTTGTCGTAGGGAGGGGAGGAGGCATATGGGAATCTCGATGTTGTCGATGACATCTTCGAGCTCGTCCTCCTGAGTCGGCAGCTGGAAAATGAACTCCCTTATTACCGAATGAAATGCTTCTCTCAAGTCCAGGAAGAGTATGCTGCCCGTGCGAGCCTGTGCACGGCAGTCGTCCAAGAAGGTATAGGCGGTGTGGGTGATGAAGTCAGTCGCCTTGTGAGGGACGGCGCCGCATTGTGTGTCCATGAGCAGGTCGGGTAAGATGTCGCGGAAGAGGCCTCTCAGGAACTTGCTGTTGATCTTGCCAATAGTGTTGTTCAGTAGGATGCCCCTGTAGGCTTTCTGCAGATGAAGCTGTCCTTGTCCTTTGGAGAAATGGGTGGAGAATCCGCCCTTCGCCGAAATGGGCTCCGTCGTCATCAGCTGCATCTTCATCATGATGGGGTGCAGAAGTCGGGCAATCTGGCGCGGCGCCGCTCGTGCCATGTCGTCGGTGTTCCCGTCAGGCCCGCCGCGTTTGCCTTTCTTGGAGGCTGCCAGGGCGGCTGTCAGGTTGTGGATGGTCTGGACGTTGTTGATGTGGGGTATCGGCTTGGTGTGTGCAGTCTTGTTGTTGTAGTGCTTGACGACGCCTTCGATGTCGGTGTTGATGCCATTCTCGATGTTGCCGTAGTATCGAAGGGCGTGCTCCGCAATGGCTTGTGGCGTCGTGAGTGGAGCTCCGTTATCGTCTTGGCGTATTTTGGGAGTCGGAGTTCTCTTAGGCGTTCGGCCGCCGCATGTGAGTAAGGCCCTCACGTTTGCCCATTCCTTCCGCGGGGCATTCCCTGCGGCTGATAATATCATATTGTCGGAGAAGCTCTCAAGGTGGGCGTCGCGGTCATGGTCGAGGCGGATTCTGAGAACGCGGTCGGCGTCTTGGATGAAGCTCAAGTATGAGTCGAAAAGGTTCGTAGTGAAAGTGGTCGTGCCGTAGGTACCGTCGTGGTAAGGAGCCGTGGTATGGTCGGGGTCCGTATGGTTGATGAAGAGGATGGTCTTGATCATCAGCTGAGTGTATCCAGGGATGTCCATGAGGTGGATGACGTCGTCAGGGGACGCTGATGCTGACTGGTTTGCAATGAGGTGCGCGGTGTATCGGATCCGTCTGCGTGACTTCTTGGAGCCAATTCCATTCCTTTTCACGATGCGGATCGTCTTAATGAGGGTGCGTCGGAATCTAAGAAGAGCGTAGGAGGCCTCGGTAATGTAGGGCTTGCGGGGGGCATGGTGCTGCTTCTTGAAGCTGGCGTATGCTGCGTCCTTTATCTGATCGACGATGCTCTTGGTATGGTCGTTGAGGTTGGTCTCCCAGGGGGGGTGTTGGATCTGCTGCAGGCGTCGTTGAAAGTCGTTCTTGGCTGTCTCGGAGTCGAGCTTAGCGGTGTCGAGCTTGGGCGTGCCGTGCTGGTAGGCGGTCTCGACGGTGTAGGCGAGGTTAGCCTTGACGGGGAAGTGGTCGTTCTTTTGTGAGTGGTCGTGTTCTGTGTCGATACCGTACATTACGGACGTGTGGGATATGGAGTCGAAAAGCTCGTGGCCAACCACTATGTAGTCCAGTCTATGTACGTCCTTGCCTGAGTCCCATGTGTAGTGGTCCTGGCCTCCGCTTTTGAAGGTGTTCGCGGCTATGAGAGAGTTGCCTTGCAGGACCTTGTGGAAGCGTTCGCCGTTGTCGTCCTCCTTTTGCTTGAAGCCTTGATCGCCGATTGCCTGGCTGCATAAGCTGCCTGTTCGAGCGTTGGCATCGATGAGGAAGATGTTGATATTGTGGTTAGACGTTGCGCACTCGATCATCTCCCAGAAGGTATCCTTCTCGTGTGGTTTAGCTCGAGAATGTGGTGCATGGGCGACGCAGACTGTATGTCGAAATCCTGGGGCTTCGATCCTTACTACGAGATGCCGAGGGCTGTGCTCGATGACGGTGAACTGATCGGGGCGGAAGTAGAGGTCCTTGGCTCCTGCCTTTCCGTACGGCTTGCTGGTGAGTATGTGGAGCTCGCAGCCGAGGTTGTACTGATCGTGCCCCCCTGAGATGACGTGGTAGGCGTACGCACTCGTGCTGGTGATGTCGTTGCCGCTGCGAACTCCCCAGGGCGCGCGGGCTTCCTGGATGCCAATCAGGTGGAGGTCCTCCATGTACAGGTTGAGCATTGTCTTTCTGAGCTTGTGTATCTTTTCTTTGCGTCGTCGAGCGCCGTGGCCAGGTTCGCGCCCTGACTGGATGTTGTAGGTGGCGATGTTGACATCTATCTCTGTCGAGGTCTTCGTGGACTTGGTTGGTGTCGAGAGGTGGGCTGTCGTTGCCGTAGTATCGACGCGTTGGGCCTTGAGCATCCCAGGTGAAAAGGATGGGTAAGCGTCCTTGGTGTGGTTGTCGGCGTCAAGTAGGAATTCCCAGCAGCGCTGAGGGGACGCGTTGAGTATGTTAGCCCATTCAGGTTGTGGGTGCGGGTAGTCCTCGATGCGGGCGTAGTTGGCTGCGGCGTCGGCAACTTCGTTCCAGGGGTTCATCTCGTGGGCGTGAACGTGACGCAGGTCGACATATTCCTTGACGTGCGAGTACATGATCACCAGTAGCTGCACGAGGTGGGCGTCTCGGTTAGTAAAAGCCTCCATCCTGGCCAGTTGGATCGCTCCCAGCGAGTCGGAGTGGACCGATATCCTGTGGTTGATGTCCTTGTGGATGATGTAGGCGAGCGCCCAGATGAGCGCTGTGATCTCGCTGGATGTCGAGGTGGTCTCGTTGTCCGTGAGGTTTTGGATCTCCACGAGGGTGGAGTCGCGGTGCTTGCCGACTATTGCGCCTTGAAAAGAGAAACCTTCTTCGTCTTCACCGACGAGTACCACTGACCATCCGTCTTGACCATGTTGGCGTGGGTGTTTGGAGCCGTCGGTGTATAAGTGCAGGCGAGAATCTCGTAGGAGCTGTCGGTATGGGAATGTTCGCATCATGTAATCTGAAACTTCGTTGTGGCATCGTTCGGTAAATTCGAAGGTAAGCCTGGGAGCCTGAAGTCGTCGAAGGTGCTGGAGTAAGGGCTCCTGCTCGTCGAAGTCGATGTGGTAGAGGATATTGTCGGTCTCCTGGTCGCGGGTGTGGACCTCGCGGGAGAAGCGGACATGCCGTGCTGCCTCGTGGCTCTCCGCATTCGGCAGGTTGGTCTGTCCGTGTGGCATCTGGGTAACTTCAGGGGAGTCAAAAATGGGAGGTTGTGGCCGGCAGGGAATTGATGTACATGGCCGGCTCAGTAGGTCACAAAATTGTCGGTCTCGATCGCCATCTTGGCCAAAATGGCTAGTGCGTCGATGCCTTGTTGGTGGCTCTGGTCGTTCTTGCCCCCCCCCTGTGTCGTACTCACAAAGCGATTCTTCCTCTCGAGGCGTAGGCGGTGGCGTCGTCATCGTCGGGATCGACCGTGACTGGGCTTCCGCTGGTGGAGGATGTGAGTCGACATGCTGCCGTCGGGGTCGGGTGGCAGTAGTTGGTCGGTCCGCTAGTGTATGTGGTTCTAGTATGGGGTCTGTGTGAGACAGCCTTCTCGCGCTCCCCAAGCGAGAGGTAGAGGCCGAGGGGATGGTCCACGGTCCACTACTAGGCTGTGGTATGTTGGGCGGTGTGTGGATTTCCCACATGTCGCCGTGCTCGTACAGGTCTGGAGGTGCGCTCTCCCCATCGCGCATGCCTCTGTTGGCTGTTGAGAGGGTAGGTGAAACTTGTGAAGTGTCGCGTGGTGAATCGTAGCTCACCAGGGGCTCAAATAATCGGCGCTTGACGTCGTCGGCATAACCACTGCAGGAGTCGGAAGTGCCGTCGTTGCGCTGGCAGTCTTCTGGTGTAATGCTGGGCCGCTCCCCCTGGGCCAGTTGCCCCCCAGGGGGTGAGGGCCTCGTTAGTTTTTTGGCGAGTTGACTGCAGGGACTTCCTCGTCGTTGAGGAAGGTTGGCACTCGGTCTCCTGGGTCTGCGAAGCCGTCTCCGATGTCGCAGATACGGACTTTCTTTGGCTTGGTCGCTCGTCTAGATGATCCGTTTTTTCGGAGGGCGGTGCGGGGCGGTGGAGCGGAGGTGGCGCGGTCTGGCGTGGCGAGGTGGAAGCGGGGTGGTGGTTGGATTGGCTGCATCGGTGCGGTAGGGGATATGTCGGCTAGTGGAATGCGCACTGGGGTGGAAGGTGGTGGTGCGTCGTCGTCGGAGGTGATGTCGATGAGAAGAGTAGTGGATGGGTGGTTGTGTTGAGTTGAGTCTGTCCTTCTGGTGCGTGGTGGTGGCGCCGAGCTGGGTCGGTCATTCTGCGGGTCGGGTGGGTGGAAGTCGATGGGCGTAGGCTGCTCGGTGGGGATCGGCGTGTGCGAGGCGGGGGTCGGTAAAGGCGTGGGGACAGGGAAGGGATATGCATCGCTCGCAACGGGGGTTGGGCTGCAAAGGTCGTCGTCGTCAGCTGGAATTGGAGTGTGCACGCTGGCGTCGTCGGCGTCGTGGCATGGGCGTCGCGCAACAGGAGTGGCGTTTGGCGTCACAGGTGCTGGTCGTGGTGGTGGTGTGCTGTTGCGCTGTCCGCTGCCGCTGGGCTGTCCACCACTACTGCTGCCTCGGTTTCTGAAGTAGAGTTGATAGCCCGAGTCGTCGGAGGTAGGGGGTGGTGTCAGCAGGTCGAGTGCCGCTTGTATCTGTTTGTCGACTTGTGCTTGTTCAGCGTCTGCTTGGGCTTGCAGTCGTGCGTCTCCCTCGTCTCGTTCTTGGAGTTGTGTGTCGAGCTCCCTGAGGATGTCCACGTCGATGCTTGTGCCGAACTCGTGGGCTTGCCGTAGTTCGCAATGCAGTCGCTCGCGCTCCTGTCTGTGTTGCTGAAGGTGCTCCTGTAGTTGGAGTTGGTGCTGCTCCTGGAGTTCATTCTCGAAGCGTTGCATGTCACTGGAAGATCCTCGAAGCTTGTCGATCTCGCTGTTGTACTCGCTCTGGGCCATCAAGGTACGGTACTTCTGAGCCTGGACCTGTCCGAACTCCTCCAAAAGTAGCTCCTTAGCATCCTGTAGCTGGTTCTGTTCAAGCCTCGCGATGTTGCCGATGTCCTGCTGGGCCTGAGCTTTCTCTGAGAGAAGACGCTGCTGTTGTTCGTGGCATCGTTGTTGATATTGTTTGACCATGATCTCCGCATTCTCCTGTAGCTGGTGTCGGAAAGTCTCTTCCTCTTGCTTCCTCTGGTTGATGAACGTGGCGAGGTGAGCTGACTCTTCCTCCCTGAGCTGGTCGCGCAGGTAGGCCTCCTTCTGCTGGTAGTGAGCCATGTTCTCCGTGATGGATTCGTGAGCCTCGTGTCGGAGCCGCTCCTCGCGTTGTCGGAAGACTTGGATCTCTTCGTAGTACGACTGTCTCTGCTGGATTTGTGCCTGCTGGAGTTGTACTCGGCAGTGCTGTAAGTGTTGCGAAAGCTCCTGAATCTGCTCGGTCTGCCGTTGACGCTGTGCTTCTTGTTGTTCGGATTCGGCTCGTTCATGATGGAGAAACGCCAGATGGTGTTGGTGTATCCCGTGGTTGCGCTGCTGCTCATCCACTCTCCTCGTCAGCACGTCGATGAGGTTCCGCAGGTCGCTGCCGTCGTTGGTGGTCGGAGCAGGCGCTGGCTCAGACGCGGGTTGCCGAGATGGTGGTCGTTGTCGTCTCTCGGGGTGTGGTGTCTTGCCTCTGACTCGATGGCGCCCGTCGTCTTCACCGTCCCCGTCACAGCTGTCTTCGTAAAGTTCAGCGTGTTCTCGATACTTCTTGGCCTCGGAGATGAGTGCCTTGAGGGATGCGATCTCGCCCTTGATTTCGTCGTGCTCCTTATTGAGGTCATTGAGCTGGCTCTCGACGGTCTGCTGTCTCTGGATCCGTGACTCCACTTGGGATCTGTATTGTGCGATGCGAGCCGTCGGTGTGTCCAGCAGGTGGATCATGGTCTTGACTATGGCTAGCTCCTCGATGAGGCGGGTTGGGTCGACTTGTGCTTGCATGGCTCCATGTACTTGGTCGGCGAGACGTGCCATCCTCGCCACCTTGGTGGCGTGCCATACCCGACGTATGTCTGGCTCGTCGGGAGGAAGAGAAAAGCTCTCGTGTCCCTTGGCCTCCGAAAGAAGGGCGGGCATTATCTTGTCAGTGACCTCCAATTGTCGTTTCGTAAGCTTTGGCAGATGTCGGTGGTCGTTGGTGGAGTCTTCGGGGGCCTGGTGGCGTCTCCTTGATGGAGTCCGCTTCGTTCTCGATGTCGTGGAGTCGTACTGATACTTCTGTTGATAGTGGACGTCGTTGTGCTGCTGTCGATCCTCGTCGTGGTGGGAGTTGTGGTGGTGCTGGTTGTGCTGGTGCTGGTACCGTGGCTGCTGCTGTCTTTGCCCTCCATTGTGTCGGCGATGAGCGGATCCAGACGCTGGTGTACTTGACCTCCATGGCCACGGTTTGGCCCCCACTGGATGGCCGTGAGACTTCGTGTTGGTCGCCATCTTGCTGGTCTCGAAGTCCTGCAGCTCGTACTGCTGGTTGCGCTGGTGCTTCTGCGCCGAGTGGTGGTTGCTGAGCGTGTCGGCAGCCTTCAAGACGCGCAGGAGGGCCCGCGCCGACGCCCGGCGCTCCCTCTGCCGCCTGTGCCAGGCGGGCTCGGGCGTCGGGCCTCTCCTGGGCGCGCCGAGGCGCGCGGCAGCCGCCAGGCGGGGGGCCAGGGCGCGGCAGCGGCGGCGGCGGATCGCCGATCCGCGGCGCGCGGAGCCCGGCCTCGCGATCGGCCTGCGAGGCGGGATCGATCGGGCGGCTGGCGCCGATCGACCCTGACCGAGCGATCGGTCGCAGGCCCAGATCGCCAGAGGCCAAATGGGCTTTCCTCCCCCTCCTCCTCCTCCTCCTCCTCCAGGCAGCCTCGTCCCCCTGCCTTATCCTTCCCCACCCCCTCCTCCTCTGGCGCCTCCTGCGGGCCTCTTCCAGGAGTCTCTCCTCCTCCCTCCTCCCCTCCTCCCTCCTCCTCTCTCCTCCCTCCTCTCCCTGCCCCTCTATCCTCCCTCCTTCCTCCTCTTCCCTCTCTCTTCCTCCCTCCTCTTCCATGCAACCTCGCAGGGTGGGCCATCTCCCAAAGCCAAGTCTCGGTGCGGATCGCTGGCGCGCCCCGTCGCCGTCGTCATTCGTCGGCGGCGGCGGCGGCGTCGCTGGCCGCCGTCGCGGTCGGGGTGCGTGCTGCTCTGCTCGGGCCTTGCTTCCCAAATGCGGTGACCACCACCCCCTCACCCCCTCCCCCCCTCCCCCCCTCCCACCCTCCTCCCCCCGCCCCCCCTCCCCCTCTCCCCCCCCCTCCCCCTCTCCCCCCCTCCGCCCTCCTCCCCCCCTCCCCCCCTCCCCCTCTCCCCCCCTCTCCCTCTCCCCCCTCCCCCCCCTCCCCCCGCGCGCGTGCTCGCGAGACAAGGGGAGGAAGGGCGGATCAGGGAGGAGGGACTCCTGCAGACAGCGTCTGCGCATATGGACCGTCGTGGGGCGAGGGGAGCGGGAGACACGCCGAGCAGTGGGGGAAAAAGGAGAGGAGGATTCGAGTTCGAGCCCATGAGGTCATAATGAGGAGGAGGAGGAGGAGGAGGAGGAGGAGGACAACCACGACGACGACGACGACGACGACAACGACGACGACGACCCTCAAACGTCCACCCCCAGACCTCTCCAAACATGCGCTCTGGGCGTAGGTGATTGAAGGCACTTCCGCCTCCGTCTCCCGCCTTCCCCTTCGGGGAGGGGCTCACCCATCCCCCTGCCCCACGCAACAGCCCCTCGCCCCTCGCCCGTGGACTGGACGCGGCGGGCGGTCTGGCGCGGTGGCCGCACCCGGTTGACCGCGGACAGAAGGACAATCATTGACTGATGAGAACCCTTGCTCAGTGGAGCCTCGGATACAGTCGGGGCGTTGACCTAAGGAACCCTAAATAAGAAACGAGGCCCCTTTTTTTCATATGTTAAACTTCGATTTTCCATACAACATTGTAAGGAAAGCCTGAGGCAAGCTGTGAAACAATTAAGGAACACGGAGGCCCTCCACAACGAAAAGGGTTCCTTCTTCAGCGCACCGACTGTATGAGGGTTGGGGAGGACCTCTTCGAACTCCTGTGACGCTTACTGGGGTAGTCTTAGGGCCCAGTTTGGGCTCTGCTGGGGCCCCTTGGAGGCTCTCGACTCTTCGGGCTATATGTCTTAGAGTCTGCGGAATCTTCCTGGGGCCGCCGTACGACCAGCGTGGAGTCCAGTACACGTGGTCCTGTTAGCCTTTTCGCAATTGGGAGCTCTCCTGGGGCTCTCTTGGTGCGCTCTTGGGGCTTGAGGGGCTGACCCGCTCTATTGGGGAACGTCGACGGATACCCCCGAGAGGCCGACCTCACTGAGCACAATCGCAGAGCTTCCCATGGCTTTCCCCGGCCTCAAAAAGATCACACAAGAGAACCCCAGGAGGAGCCGTGAAGGCTCCAAGAAAACCCGAATGGCCCCTAAGAGCACCCCCAAGAGCGTCCTGAAAAGGCCCCAAGAAGGAAACGTGTCGGGCTCCAGAGTTGAGCAGGGACCGACCGTCCAGGCATTTCTATAGTCCTACCGCGAAGTGTTCTTAGAACCCAAAAATGTTCTAATAACAATAACAATGTTCTTAGAACATAAGCCCGACGTGTTAAAACAAAACAGTCCCAGTCAGAAATGCTCTAAGAACACTTCGTGACAATCACAACAGGTTCTTAAAACCTTGTTCGGTGGGGCTATAGGCGAGCCGGGACGCTTCGCCACTGCTTAACAGAGGTGCAACGATAATCGAGGATTCACCCATCGCTCAAAACACGAGTCATTTGGGTGCAAATGGCCTCTCGAGGGGCAGCCTCAGGAGGCTTTGGGGCCAAAATGGCTCCAAGATGGCCCCAGACGACCCAAGACAACCTCCAAGATTGCTCTCAACATGCCACTCAGCCTTGAGAATGCCTCCAGGGAGGTCCAAAGACACGGCTTGAGGTTACCACGGAACCTCCGCCAGGGCCCAGCAAATGTCCGAAATTACACCCAGAGGCCCCTGGATGGCTGCAAGAGGCCTCCAATAAAGTCCCAGAGCGCAAGATCTGCGCAGGCCTGTATGGTTGATTCCTGGTCGCCGTCGTCGTCGCCTTCGTCCCTCCATCCTCTTCGTCGTCCTCCTCCTCCTCCTGCTCCTCTCACCCTCTCTTCCTCCTCTTCTGTTTCGACCTCCTCCTCCTCCTCCTCCACCTCCTCCTCCTCCTCCTCGTCCTCCTCCAGATGGGCCGGTGGGGATGCTTTTTTTTGGTCGCGGGCTGACGCGGTCACGCAGTCGCCGAAGGGGAGGTCCGGGGCACGGTCCTGCCTAACTGGCTACGCGTGGGCCTCGAGCGAAGCGGCCGGGCCAGCACTCAGAAGCAGCTGCCGGCGGGGCTGCAGCTGATGGGGAGCTGGCTGAGCAGTCTGCTGAAGGCCAGGGTAGCTGGGGCAACATGCACGAGCGAGGCTGAAAGACGCCAAAGTGGAATTAAGTCCTGCACGCCCGCCGGTGGGGATGCACGAAGCGTCAACAATCTCTAAACTAATCCATCTGTGTCGACGAGCAGCCCGCAAGGTGTTCTAGCATGGCAGGGAAACACCACAATCTGGATTCTCAATCCTCGGCGGTGAGGGGAGCAGGGGGAGGATGACCAAGCTAAACCCAGGATGCATCAACGATGCTTCGACGCACCCTGCCGTTCCAGGCCCCATGTCCATACAGGTGTTCTCTGTTTCGCAAAAAAAGAAGCGCACCCCCGAAAGGCGAGCACCCCGTTGGCCTGCCGTGCATGCGAGAGTCCAGCGAATTGGAAGGCATGCGGGAAAATCCGCCAGCCCACTTGCGGGGCCATCAGGCTGCGAAGATTAGGCTTGCAGCTCCCTGTACCAGTTGCAGTTTCCAGCTTCCACTGTTACAGTCCTGCTTTCTGCTTCCTTACTGTTGATTGTTGCTGAACGCGCGAGGGGGTGGAGCCGAAAAGCGTCCTGGCTAGCGTCCCCGAATCGCGTTGTCTGAATTCCCGGGGAGTCGTGGGGCACGTAAAATTCAATGATATTCGCATCCCCGAGGCCAGAATCCCGAGTAAATTACGCCATATTCGCGTCCCCGAGGCCATAAACCTTCGTAAATTCCACCAAAATCGCGTCCCGAAAACCATAATCCCTTATAACGAACGCGATATTCGGATCCCCGGAGCCATAAACGCTCGTAAACTACGCGATATTCGCGCCCCCGAAGCCATAAACCTTTGTAAACCATGAACCCTCGAAAATTACATGATACTCGCGTCCCTCAAGCCATAAACCGTTTGGAAAATTATACAATGCTTGCGTCCCCGAGGCCACCAACCCTCGCAAATTACAAAATTCGCGTCCCCGAGGCCAAAACCCTCGCAAAGTACACAATAGTTGCGCCCCCGAAGCCATAGACCCTCGTAAATTACGCAAGCTGTGCGTCCTCGAAGCCATAAACCTATGGACAATTACACCGTATTCGCGTCCCCGGAGCCCTAAATCATCGTAAATTACCTCATATTCGCGCCACCGAAGCCATAAACCCTCATAAATTAAGGTTGGCTCTCGCGTGAAGTCCCGACATTGCTTCACGTCAGCGTCCGGACATCCCAACGCAGCTCTGGCAAGTCCCATTCTAAGAGAGGGGGGCCGGCGGCATGGGGGCGAAGCCCTTACGGATATGCTCGTTGACATTGAACGACGTGTCTGGCGAAAGACCCATTCCGAAACGGAACCGCGCACCATCCGTGCAACTGCTGCATAAAATTGCACTTCTGACCGTTCAGGAAATCTCAAGCGAGAGCCCCATTTGGAACAGTGAGGAAACCTCAAGCGAGGGCCACATGTTGAAAAGGGACCCATACCCATCCCAGCAACCTGCCAGCTTTTACAACGCATGGGCGCGGCGCTAAGACGAGGTCCACCCTTTGAAAACGGACCGCCCTCCATCCTGGCAAATGCTGCAAGCGTTTAACATGAATGCGCGCGGCGCTAATAGGGAGCCCACAAAGGACGTACGCGCCCAGCTATGTACATGAACACGGCCCCTTGACCCTCGAGACCTGCCGCGCGATACGAACATTCGCGCAATGCGAACTCTCGAAACCAGCGTGGATTCATGTACATGTACGTCCTTCTTTCGCTCCTGAGCTAAGGCGAGAGCCCCATTTGGAAAACGGATCGCCCTCCGTCCTGTAGCTGCTGCCGTCTCGCACGCCTCGCCCGCCCTGCCGACACGGCCCTGGTGGCGCGGCAGGGGGGCGATCTCTGCAGGGGAACGGGATGAAGACGACAACTACGACGCTCGGGCCGGGCGAAAGGGGGGATAACAAAAGGGGGGGGAGAATCAACCCACGCAGCTGAGCTTCCCGGCGCCTCCAGGCGCCGCAGGCGGATAACTATGTATCGAGAAATGGGCCCCTCGGTGGGGCCGGAACCAGCTGCATGCAGCAGATTCTGTGACCACCCCCCTTGCCAAATCCCCCCCTTTCGCCCGGCCCGGGAAACACATGGGCACGATGCCCAACAGCAGATGCCGTGCCAGACCGACAGCTGCCGCCGTTGAGCGGGCGGCCTTCTCTCGCGAATGGACCACGTCCGCGGCGGCACCAACAGCGAGTCCTGTTCGAAATTGACCAGACATTCTGCCAGTCTGTGTACCCATTTTTCCCGCACCCACTGGGATCGTTCTTTCGTCCGGCCTTTCGTCCGGCCCGAGACGCCCACGCAGTGCAGGCGGGAGCGCGCGAGAAGCAGCCGCGGCCCAGGCCAGCGGAGTCCGCAGGAGACTAAAACAGGGCTAGGATCGGGATAAATCGCTCCAGAGCGTTCCGGAGCGCTCTCAGAGCGTTCCGGAACGCTCTGGAGCGGCCGCGGCGCCCAATACACCCTCCAAACCCGCCGATTCTCAGAGATTTCGAGTTATCCCGATCCGATTTTGTCCCGATCTTCTCGTCGTTTTGGAGACCGCCGGCGGCGGCCGCAGGGCCGGCGGCAGACGCCAGGGTGTCGCCGAAGA